TAATGGCTCTGCTGGTTCAGACAAATGAATGTCAAGCTGGTCGGAGGTTGGAGGGCGATCAGACCGCAGCAAAGTTACGGCGGAGAAAGCTCTAGGGTTGGAGATCGAACGGGAGGAAAGAGGAGATGACCGTGGCATTGGGATGCCGGAAACAGAAACAAAGGACCGCAGCGTCTCATGCCGACAGGTCTGGCACACAGCTCCTCGTAAGAAAGCCCTGCTCATGGTGACGGTTATATTGGTAAAAGAAATATCTTGAGTCCAACAGTTCAGTTCCAAGGTTGATTTGCTCCCATCGGGTGATACCAGATAACGGGAGCAAACATAGCAAACAGCTGAGTCATCGAAAAAAAGATTCAGGTGGGGGGCAATTATCACAAATCCACGGCGCTGTAAACTCTCTGTTTTCAATACCCAAGTGATTTTTTTAGTCTTTGGATTTTGATTCCTAATTCTACTCAAAATGTCGATGGATCTGGATGATCCCGTCTATTTCGCGCAGCAGGAGCAAGTCGCAGCGACGTGAGTTCTTATCGCAACTTTTTTTTCTACATATTCGTCCCCCGCCGAGGCAACCTTCCAACGTCGAAGTCTCCATACTACAAACCGGGTCCGATGTGCTGATATTTTATTCTATTAGTATTCTCTGCTGCAACTGTGGTGCTGCCATTGATGGAACACTCTCAGCTGGAGCGTTGTGTTCGGATTGCATTCGTCTTACCGTCGATGTTGCCGGAGGTGTATGTACAACTCCATCCGTGGGCTTTGTCAAAAGAAGCCTTCCTACACGCTTATAATTTGTTCCAGCTGACGTGAGCTCCCTTTGAATTATAGGTCCAACGCGAAGCCGTGATTCATTGCTGTAGGGATTGCGAACGGTGGTTGCAGCCCCCCAACAGCTGGGTCGTCGCAGCTCTCGAGTCGAAGGAACTACTCGCCATTTGTCTACGCAAGCTCCGTGGTCTGAACAAAGTCCGAATCATCGACGCCAGCTTCATTTGGACGGAGCCTCACAGCAAGCGACTACGTTTGAAGATCACAATACAAAGTTAGTTTTACCCTGCTCTACCCGAGGGATCGAAGCTAACAACCCACAAGCGGAGGCTTTCCAAGGTACTATCATACAGCAGCAATTTGAGGTTGAATATGTTGTTGCCAATCAACAATGTTCTGGGTATGCTTATAGAACCCCTCCCCCCAACCACCCACAACTATATGATATGACGCTAACGCATTTTTTAGATGTCAGAAGAGCTTTACGCATCACACTTGGGGCGCATCTATCCAGATCAGACAGAAGGTGCCTCATAAGCGGACTTTTATGTACCTGGAGCAGCTGATCCTTAAGCACAATGCCCACAAGGACACCGTCAACATCAAGGAAGTGAGCGAAGGTCTTGACTTTTACTTCTCAAAGAGGAACGAGGCCGAGCGCATGCTTTCCTTCTTAGAGGGGTGCATTCCCTGTAAGGCCACGAAATCGCACGAATTGGTCAGTATGGATATTCATACGAGTAAATCCGTTTACAAACATTCATGGTCGTAAGTACGCCCCAAATCTCTAGGTTCCCAAATCTAACCCAGCGCACACAACTATCTTACTAACAACCCTATCCAACGCAGTGTATCCATTGTTCCTATCTGCAAGGATGATCTAGTTGCTCTTCCGATCAAGCTGGCCCGTTCATTGTCTGATATAAGCCCGCTGGCTATCTGTCACCGAGTTGGCACTTCTATTAACATTATGGACCCCTGCACCCTGCGGACAACCGATGTTCCTACTGCAATTTACTGGCGCCAACCATTCCCGGCCCTTGCAGATATTACCGAGCTTAAGGAATTCATTGTTCTAGATATTGAATCCACCGGCATCTCTAATGGTCGGTTCCTTCTAGCCGAGGCCACTGTTGCTCGTGCCTCGGATTTAGGATCCAACGATGTCACCTATTTCACACGGACTCACCTCGGTGGTATCCTCCACGTGGGTGATTCCGTTCTCGGCTACCACTTGACGGGAACCCAGTTCAACAACGATCAATACGACGAAATTGAGAACAGCCACCAGTACGGCTCAACAATCCCAGATGTGGTCCTTATCAAGAAGCACTACGTCCGCAGCAAGAAGTCCAAGACCCGCACCTGGCGTCTGAAGCGCATGGCTCGCGAGCACGAAGAGGAGGCGACTGCCGCCGTAGTCAACGTCCCCACCAACAAGCGCCAGGAGCAGGAGCAGGCTAGGATGGAACAGGATTATGAGATGTTCTTGCGTGACGTCGAGGAGGATCAGGAGCTGCGTCAAACGCTTGATCTGTACAAGAACCGCCAGTATCAGACCAGGCCAGACCAGATGGATGAGGATGAAGACGTGGATGAAGAGCACGCCGTGCCGAAAATCAACATGGATGAGCTGCTTGATGACTTTGATGAGCTGAACATGGAGGACAATTAGTAGCGATCTGACTGCTATCATGGAAGAAATCTGAATGTTATCATTGACGATCATGGATGGCACTGGGTGGCGTTTGTGTTTTGTGGGTTTTCAATCAACAAAAAAAGTTCCTTATCTTCAAATTTATACGTGCAATGTACAGCATGCAAGTGCAAAACTTGAATCATTATTCTACATGTAGGATATGGACGTCTCTCTTATAGAATTATATGGAACAGACCAATTGCTTCTGATGGAACTGAATCAAAGTCAACACAAAGTTGGGATTATAAAGGTGAGTTAGAAGTCGACTAGTAAAGTTGAAAGGACAAAATAACTAAGCGGCAGTTTTTAGGGCTATTTGTGGGGTTGAACCTCGAAACATTCACTGTCCTATGTAGGTAGTGATGTATGGACCTTTGTTGAGATTCATAACTCCACATTGTGTACATAAAAAAAAGCCTTAATTTAGAAGTTTTAATGTGCTTTGATAAACGTTATTTGCTTAGGGAAAAGAAAGAAGAGGAAATGCGTTCGAGTGGTTGTCTTTTTATCTCTACGACTATGGCAACAGTCAACAACCTAGTGGAAGAAAGAGCCAACTGCCCAGAGACTTAGGAGACCTCAACAGAGTCCTAAGATTATATTGAGCATACAGGTGATATATCTCTTGGTCTACCGTTGATATGAGGACAATCCTCCTTCATCTGAATACCCTACATCGTTGATACTGGTGGGGGGGGGGGGGGATCTGCCTGTCTGTGTTTTGTGTTGCGTTTGCTTTTTTGAAAGAAATATCAAACTAATATTTTCAAAGGTTTCTATTCTTGATACATAATCTATAGTAACTATAAGCCAAAAACCGTTTTCGGACATACTATACTGATATCATCGTTCGAGCCTGGCTGAAATATTCTATTAGAGTATTATACAATGTCCGAGTGTATAAATAACAAGCTATAATAGTAAACAAGAAACAGTCTTTGTTCAAGAGGAATAGATAATGTCAACTAAGACAATCTCTAGTCACAAACATGAAATGCGATTGGGAAATATTCAAGGTCAGGAAAAAGAAGACACACGAGTGCATCACCTCTCCATGGCAATGCGAACCCTACTTAGAAGATCTTCCCAAGTACCCGCTTCGCATCATCAGCCATAGCACCATCCTTCGATCCCTTAACAACCTCATTCTGCTGGAAATGGAACCTCCTTCTCGTAGATGGCGCAGCCTTCTTAGGCTCCGGCAGTTCCTTATCCCCATCCCCATCATCAGCCGCCTCCAACCGCCTCTTCATCTTCTCCTCATTCTTCTTCGCCATACCATCAGCAATGCGACCATTCTCAACACCCTCAATGAACAATTTAGCTTCCTTGGCTTCACGAGCATCGGCAATCTTCCTCTTGCTTTCCCGCTCAGATCGCTCTCGTTGTACAGATTGCATAAGATCATCCCAGGTGAATCGTGAGAGGTACTTAATATTCCAAACATCATCGTGATACCCTATAATCATAGCACTGGTTAATATTCATGTCGAAATAGCAAGGACGTATATAACGCGAAATAGCCGGTAGACTCACAGCTCGACTTCAAACCACCCACGATAGTCGCATTCAATGTCTCAGCGCAGATCTTGGCTGTCTTCTTAGAGCGGAACTCGATCCAACCTTCCGTGTAGAGCTTTCTCTTATTTGAGCGGTTTCGATTTCCGGCTGCAGACGGGAGAAGGGGCGCTAGGAAGATCTTCGTGATATCTCCGAACCCTCTCTTTTCTAGCATTGCTTTCAAGGCGAAGGGTTTGAGGTATGGCGGTAGAGAAGAGAAGTATATAACACCTGAACGGGTCTTCTTGGGTGCTTTGCCGCTGGCCAGTTTAGACAACTTAGCAAGCTTGCCCTTGGCTTTCAGTGACTTGGCTGATTTGGTGCTGGGTTGCGCTGAGTCGTCTAGGCTTGCGCCACCTTTGTCCTCGTTATCTTCGTCTTCGTCTTCATTTTCGAGATCTTTGTCGTCCTCGTCTTCATCCTCGTCAGACTCCACTGAGAAATCTTGCTTGGTTGTTGTCCGTCGTCGCTTCACGGCCCGCCCTTTGCTCTCCGCCACATTAGCTTCGGAGTCGTATCCGCGGTCGCTGCCGCTGGCCTCATCATCACTGGCCGCGATGTCTAGGAAATCGTTGTGTTTGCGGGTCGTCATTTTGTGGAATCCGAGTTGGTTGTTAGACTTAATCGTGGGAGGCGGAAGTCTGCAACTTTTTTTATGCGGGTGGTCTGTGCCCTCGGAGTTCCAAGGTTAGATCTACCAATCAGCCACACACCAGCCACATATCAAAGTCAAGAATTATCAGGTGAATCTATGACTGCCCAGCTTAGAAGATTTTAAAAGTTAATTTTAATGAAAGATGGAAGAAAATCTCTGAAATTTTGTACTGATGTATATCTGCAGAAGCCACTCAGGCTCTGTATGTAAAAAGAACCCTCCCAGGGTATCCACGAAACGCCACAGAGAACCAGATCAAAAGCCCTCGTGATATATGCAAAGAACGGGCAAAAAGTTGAATAGATCACAAATCTAATTGATCCCCAATGACGCCTTTGCTCGCTCATAAACGTAGAAGCTTACTGCAACCATGGGCACAACTTTGACGTATCCGATGGTCAATCCGACCCAGAATCCTCTAAACCCTCTCTCAAGCCAAATCTTACGAGCCGTTTCTGCAATTCCAAGTCGGCGTCCGTCACCAACTGCACCACCAACTTGCATCCGCCGACGGAGGACCTCCACTGGGTATGATGAAGTCTGCGAAACTAGACCGGCCATAGCACCGGACAGAAGCTCGGATGTGGTATTGAGCTGCGGTCGTTTGGGTCGATGCGCGGGGTTTTCTGACTCAGTTGCTTTTCTGAGGGTATAGGGCGCCACACTTGGGTTGCGGAACAAGTCACCCACTGTGTCATGGGTGAGGAAAGACATTCCGGCGTAAGGGAGCATCCCGAGGATAGTCGGGGAGAAGCCACGGTAGAAATTGGCAATACCGGTGCGCGGGACTACTTTCGAAACCGCAGATGAAGCGGTTTCGGCAACAGCAACGGAAGAAGACTGCGCAGCTGCCGCAGAGCGGGTTGTTGGTGGGGGTTGGACACGCTCATGGTAGATTTGCCGCCATATGTCCACCAATCCTGAGCGGTGCGATTGTCTAGTTTCGAACGCCATTCGCACGCGCATCAACTCTAGTGGGTATGTGAAGCATACAGAGGTGACACCTGCTAAACTGCCGGAGACCAAGCGGCGGAACGGGGTCTCGTACTCGCTGGAAGGAATTATAACTGCACGGATCTGCTCGTATGCAAGGAACTTTATAGCAGCGTATGGGAAAATTCGAAGCAGAGTCACTGAATGGCCCTTGTACAGGCCCTTAACACCTTCCGTGCGCTTGATATCTCGAATCGCTGCTGCCAGGCCAGTCCAGCTGCCCGTGTACTTGGCGAATTGAGGATTTGACGCCTGGAAGAGGATTTTCACGCGGTCTAGAGGCGCTACAACGGTCTTGGCCTATAACATCCGGCGCATCAGTTCAAAGCTCGCAATGGCCTATAACCGATCGAAACTTACCGCACACCCCGCCAGTCCTCCTGCAATTCCACTCCTCATCACATAATCCAAGCTACGCTTTTGAATCTTGTTGTCGCCGCTCTGTGATTTGCTCATGGCGGCGGTATTATTTGACTCAATTGTAGCGCCGCCGATAGGCGACGATCCCGGCGATGCGGTCTTGCTCATCGGAGCGGATTGCGGAGTAGAGTCTGGGGATTTGTGTGGGTCATAGGCATGGTCCGAATGACCAGTCGACATGGAAGAGGAAGAGGAAAAGACGGGATTGTGAGAGGAACCGAGGCTCACAGGAGGGGTGAGAATATCCGGGGGAGTCGTCTCGTGATCAGTTTCGGCGATAATCAGCCAGAGTTCTCGGGGTACCGGCCGATCTTCGGGACGATGCAACGTGCATGCAGGTGCCTAAGAGTTGCCTGTATATCACAGCAAGCTTGAATGAAGTCCGAAAGAAGAATATGACTGTGCAATGGCAAAAGATGGAAGAAGAATAACGTTATGTGCTGTTTCCACTGACGTATTTGCGTCCGGATAGCCCCAAATATCGTTACGAACATTCTGACATGCCGATACCAGCGGCTCTCCGCGAATAACCGGCGGATTACGGTACTAATACGCGGCCCGCAAAATCAGCGAGTCCCGAGAAGCCGGTTTGTCATCGTATTTTGCCTTGACTAGCCCAAATTGGGATATGTAGCCGATATTCATTCTGTAGCCTTCGTTATAGGGCTTCATTGTCTGAACTTATTTTTTCAAGATTCTATGTTATTGCAATTGCTTCTAAGCTATTTAACTTCTTCGCAAAAAATGCTAACGAAAAGAAATGAACTCCCCGTCTCCATGCAGCTCGAAATGTATACGAAGTACAAAGAATATCGTGGTCGCGTGATATTGTAGAATTAATGCCTCTAAAGGTATCAACCCCTGCGCTGAGCGCGTGTTCGGGTCAGAGGCTTAGCTTGCTTAGCCTGTTTAGCTGCCTTGGTCACTTTGATTTCATCCGAAACCCGCTTGCGCTTGGCCGGCCGGCCAGGGTCAACATGAAGATGCCCATGCTCGGACAACGCGGTCGTGTTCTTCCAGCGCAGGCAGCGGGGGCTATTCTCGTTCACTTCCACATAGGTCTTGGTCCGGGTGGTCACACGTTTGGCTGGGATGTCCTCCGACTCAGCTCTATCAGACGTCTCGGCTAGGTACGCCTTGCGATTCTTCATGTACTTGGCGATGTAGTCTTGCTGGATGAGCAGCTCCTTAAGCAACTTGGCCTCCCGGTTGCCGCGCGAGTCCAACCACTCCACAAGCTGTTCAATTGCCTCGGGGTCCTCGTAGTAGCCCCATTCACGGGCATTCGACAGGTGGGTTGATCCTTCTTCGTTCTTCTTGCGCTCTGCAGGTGTGGTTTGGAAATGCTTCTGGTACTGCTTGCGCTGTTCGTCGGTCACGTCGATGAAGCCAGCGTACTCCATTTCATCCGGGCCTTGAACCCACAAACGGCCATTGGCATAGCATGCCTCGGCCGTTGAGCTCTCCGGCATACCCTCGTAAGGCATCGCATTACGCTCAAACCACCAGTAGCGATTGCAGAAGCGATCCAGTCCAAGGCATCGGGTCCGGGGGCAGTCGGTTTCGCGAAGGCTGTTCTCCACAGTCTCGATCTGATCCTGGAGCTTCTCGATCTTGGCTTTCTGCTCGTCGATCTTCTTCAAGACTCGCTGGTATTGCTTGGACCCTTTAGGCTGCTTCGCCAATATCTCCTTTCGCTCTTTTTCCAATTCTTGCTTCCGTTTACGCTCCAGGGCCCGATCAACCCCTCCACGTAATGAGCGTGGTCGAGAGATATCCTCGTCTTCTGTATCCCCGACCATTTCAGAGTCCCCTTCCAGGCCAGTCAGTCGAGAATCATCTAAGCCGTCCAGTTCAGGGACCGGCGTAGGTGACTTTCCAGCCTTTTCAGGTTCGGGCTGAACGGCCTTACGCTCCTGGTGCAGCTGACGAAGCTCGATGAGTCTGAAAGCTGATGTTAGCGGTTTGGGTTGCAATGGTCAAAGATTGAACTTACCCTGCTTTGCGCGCCTTCTGGTACTCGATTTTCTCCTTGCGCAACTCTGTCATCTGATTGCTACACTCCTCGAGATAGTTTCGGATAGCCTTGGTCTCCAAACTCAACATGCAAATCATCTGGAGCACCTTGGTACGCAAATTGATGTCGAGTGTTTGGTACTGCTCCTGCACGGTTTGCTGTGTAGGTTCGCGATCGAGGGGTGCCAGATGTTTGAGAATGCTGTTGCAGACTTGTTCCGAGCGAGGACGGATGGATAGCTGGTGCAAAAGTCCAACTATCACCAACTGCCATCCACCGTTGCGGAAATCGCGCTTGCGGAGACGGTCAATCCAACCATATTTCTCGAACATTTCGCCGGCGCGATGAATCTGCGTCTCCTCGGGGTTATCTTCATTAATCTGTGCTTTGATGATGACTGCCTCCTCCTTAGCCAGGCTTCCTCTCGTGGTCATTCTCTCGGGCTTCGCCTGCGGCTCTGGAGACTCTTCCTCGGCTTGCTCTTCATCTTGTTCTTCTTCTTCTTCTTCTTCTTCTTTTGCTTCTTCTTCTTCTTCCTCCTCCTCTTCGGATTCATCCGAGTCATCAGCAGGGAAATCTGGGAGTGAGATTTGAACAGCTCCATCATCGTTCGATGAATTGACAAGTTTCTTAAGAACGGCACAATGCACTTCAACGAACAGCTCGCAGTCCACTTCATCTGACGAGAACTGCATAGCTTGAATAAAATCGTCAAATGTGAAGGAATCCAGTTCGAAGACTTCACAGTAGACATTGAGTGTGTCCCAAGTCTCCAGGAGCAACCCCACCGTTTCCGGCTCTAGGTCATCAGGTAGAAGGTCCTCCGCACCGTCGTCTTCAGACTCGCCTACCATCATAAATTTCAGGGTTGGCCGGTGTTGCTTTTCAGAATTAGGAGCAAGGTCCAGATCTTCGATAGGGTATTTGATCGGTGGCGGGGTTGGTGCTCTTGGCTCGTTCTTAACGACCACTGCCGGGAGTCCAGCAAGCTTCCTATCGCCAACCAGTGGCGGTTTGGAAGGGCGCAAGGGATTGGAAGGCAGAAGGAATGATGGGTTACCATTCAGCGACCGCTGATACTCCTGGTACTGCGCCTCACGCGATTTTGCCATGTCCTGTGCAGACAGTTTCGACTTGTGCCCCTTGACTGCGGGTTTCAGCTCGGGCAGCTGCTGAGAAGAAAAGAAACCAAAGAAGCCGTCTTGGTCTGCTTTCTTCATCGCCTTCTTCTCTGCCACCTTCGCACCATACTGCAGATGCTTAGGTACCTCAATCGGAATCTTGTATGTCTCTGCGACAGATGGTTTGACCAACCAGGGGGCACCTGTCCAGGATTCTCTGGTGACATTGTTTTTGATAAATCCGCGCAGCATCAATTTAGTGAATGCCTTTCGGTCGCGCGTGATGTGGTCCTGGTCCAGCAGGGCCTCTTCATTTTGTCGATCTAGGATCTTGACTAGATACCTGGCAAAAGCAGGTGTTTTAATGGTTCCGTCGGCATATAACTGCTCTGCAAAGTTTGCCTTGTCTCTGATGGTACCATGAAGACGACTGCTATCCTCAAGCAAGATGAGAACTGCTTCGCCTGGGTAGAAGTCTGATTTAAATTCCTAGGTTTGTTAGATCAGTAGTTAAATGAATGATGGGATTATCTCACTTCATAGATTTCATCCACTAAGAAAGAGTGATGTTAGTTTGGTTCAGACTAAAAAGACAGGAATAGCATACCCAGGCTGTCCACCCTCGAAACTGTAGAGAACTGAATTCTGCGCAGAATAGGTTCTCTCAGCGCATCGGGGAAGCTGTTATTGACTTCACGCGATTCCTCCGTCTAGTCAAGTCTTAGCATATGTCCATCACTCAGTGTCCATGGTATAATATACCTCACTGCGGAGCGCCTCGAAGAAGGTCAAGCCCGAATGGCCGGTGATCTCGCAGATGAATCGACGTTGCTTGTAGAAGTCCATTCGCTGAAGGTAAGGCTCGTAGCTGGTGAAGACCTCATTGGTCTCCGGGATAACCCAGACCTGGAAGGAAGGAAGAGGGTCAGTGGGAAAGTCTGCAGTATGGGTAATGGAGATACATACCTCGGAACTATCATCTTCAATGACAGTTTGTGGAAGGTATTGGACCGGTTTGCGTTTGAATAACACCTATCCATGCAATTGTGTAAGCCTCTTTGTCTCCGTAGCATCCACCACTTCCTTCTTGGCACCTCCGCAGCCATTCCATCGGATCAGGTGTTGCATACCATGATGCTTTAAATATTAAGTATGGACGCGCCAGTCGGCCGGGAGCTACCGTGTACAGGATCGAGCATGAACGGGACTAAACAAAACACGATATTAGTTAGTGAGTGAAGCTTGTCGATTGTGTGAAAGTAGAGACCGCGTCAGACATGCAATCGGCGGAGGTAACGGGGCTGCGATATAGATTGTAGATACTCCAGTTGTTCTGGTGCACCGTTGTGTAGGGAGGTGGCGGTTTGGGGAGGGAATTGTCATGATCAGGCCTGGTCGCAGACCCAGAACACGCGAACAGTGGAATAGCGCCTCGTGAATTCATGCGGACTTACCGGAGTAGAACGCGTCCTGTATAAAGCGAACCAAATGATTCTGATATGATGGACTGGTATGATATCAGTTTAGGGGGTGGGGGAAGTGAATATTTGAAGGTGTAGGAAGCAGGAAAGAAGAAAGGTAGACAAAAAGGAAGCGGTAGATCATTGCAGGACCGCGAATCAGCGGTGGAAGCTGATTGGTGGAGAGGAGGAGCAAGCGGGAGCCAAAGCCCAGCAGAAAAACGCTGGGCTTTCCTCGGGACCCTCGACTCTCCCTCCTCCCCTCGTCATCTCCCGACTATCAATTATTTCTTCTTTTCTTTCCCAACTCTACCCGTATTTACCCTCATTCGACTCGTCTGATCTAGGAGATTTTATCTACATCCCGTTTATTTCAAATTACTATGATATTTCTATCCTTCAACGCGATTATCAATTCTCTATTTCTGTTCTCGGTCACCTCTCCCCGGGCTAAGATCGGAACAATCAATTGGAACTAACCGGACCATTTCAACCACCAGCTTTGTTTGTATTTTTAGCATGAAACACCAACCTTTTAACAATATTCTCTTTGGCTTTAAATGCTCAAGTCTTATTTGTTCA